TTATCCCTGAACAGTGTTTCTAATAACTCTGTAACATGAAACCTACTTCCAGGAGAAACAAAATTTAAACGACTCAATCTACAGAATTAAAATTCTCCTGGACAAAAAGCAGCTTTTTTTTTTCTTTAAAGCATGTGCACATCTGGGGAATTCAAAGACATTTAGGCACAGGGTGCGTTTCCCTGATCAGGCCAAGCTGTATGGAGCCTGTCCTAGCATAAGATACGTTTACTGTTTAAAGAAAAAATAAACCAGCTTCTCACTATATAAGACCAGTATTGTAAGCCAGGATCCTAGCACGTAAGCAAGCAGTTGATTTCTCTGTAATAATAGGAACGGCTTCATACGAAGAACGTTGATTTCTCTGTAATAGGAACTGCTTCGTGTAAAGAACAACTCAACCAGTATTTCTCAACCTTGACAACTTTAAGATGTGTGGACTTCCAACTCCTAGAATTCTGGGAGTTGGAAGTCCACACATTTTAAAAGTTGTCAAGGTTGAGAGACACTACAATGTGTGTGTCAGCATTGCAAAGGGGTACAGGCTTAGCACTGGTTTTCCATTTCTTAAGTTTCTGCAGACAAGTCTTGCTGGGTCCTTCCCAAAAAAAACCCCCCACCATCGTCGCCACCACTAACACAGGACACTATGCCAAGCAATCTTTGCTCTTGCCTCATCGTGTCCTATCACAGGGACGCTTCCGTTACTTTTCTCTCCGCTGCTTTTAAAGTGGGATGAAGAGGTTGTGGGCTTTCCTCCCCCAATCTATCCCTCCACCTCTAGTCCTCCGAGAAGGCTGCCAGCAGCAGCCTCTCCGCATCTTCGGACAGCTCGACCACAGCTTGCTTCAACAGGTTGTAAACGTTCTCCACCGAGATTGTAGCCTCCACTTTACCTCCTCTGCCCCAGTAGGGCATGTAGCTCCACGCCCAGTTGCCCCACGAGGGAGGCTTCACTATGAGGTTGAGCACCTCGGTGGGGGGCATTGAGCAGGCAAAACGGCTTTGGATCTGTTCATGAAGCCAGTGGATTTCTTTGCCAGTACACTGGGCTGTCCTCGCGACCGATGTTTCGTTCAGACCGAGGTGGATGCAGAAACTGGCGATGATGGCCAGGAGCTTCTTGACCTCCGTCTCCTTGAAGCCATCCACCGAGGAGAGGCCAACTTGCAAAGTCTTCCCCCACACGTCCTTCATCAGCACTTTGCTCTTGAGTCTCACCAGCTGGGAGACGACGGTTGGGATTGCTCTCCTCAACGCCTTCCTCTTCAACTCGGCCGCCCGTTTCTGGAGTTCTTCCCTAAGGAGAGGCAGGTCGTAGGCTTCAGCCATGAAGGAGGAGACCAAGAAGACCGGACATTCCACACCATCGTTCTTCAGAGCTTCCACGCAGCTCTTCCGGATCTGTTCCTGAAGTTTCTCCTTCACGTTGGGTTGGCTTCCGCCTGGAGCCTCCACGTCTACGTCGATCTTGTTCCTCACAAAGAAAGACTGTTTCCCTTCCGAAGCAATCATTTTGGCCAGACAGCTGTGGATGTGCTTGTAGCGCTCCGAGGCCACCAGGAGGAAGGCGCTGTAGCGGCTGAGGTCCAGGCGCTTCACGTCATCCTCCATCAACCCCACGCCTGGCAAATCCCAAAGGAACATGTTAGGGACGGAAGGGAATGGGTAGGCTGTGGCTACCCTGGTGGTCTCGGCTATTCCGGTAGGGGCTGCCCCTGCCTCTTCAGCGCCTGCTCTTCTCAGCGCGTTGATCAGGGAGGAGTTTCCTGAGCCTGTTTCCCCAATCAGAGCTACATTCAGATGGATTTGAGTGGGGTTGGCCAGCATAGCCTGGATTACCCCTGGGACATCTGCCAAGCTGCTGAACTTGCAAATCTCAAATAGCTCCTTGACCGTCTTTTGACTCACTGCGTGGAAGTCCTTCAGATTTCCCTCGTGGTGCCTAGAAAGAACCAAGAGCAGAAATATATACTGTAAGCATAATGCATTGTCTTCCTATAGTCATTAGTTGTAATTAAAGAGAACAGTAAGAAGACGGTTCTAAGACAAAACCGCGGACGACAAAATCGTGGTCGACGAAAGCGCGTATGTGACGTCATCACAGCGCAAC